AAAAAAAACATTGATACGCTTTTACTCAACAGAAAAAGAATCACGAAGAGATGGTGCATTGGCATGGTACTTGGGTAGAATCACAAAAAATTGATGATGGACGACTAACGCTGCTGGTGCTCAGGGTTGGGCTTTGGGAAATTTTAAAGACTGGGAAAATTGATTGGGTTCCCAAGTGTTGAAGACCGAAATCATTGCAGGTTATATTATTGAGAGTTGTTTAGTTGGCCGGGGAGGCTTGGAAACTGGAAATTTCAACCTTTTATTTACCATCTGACATTGGTTGAAAGAACAAAAAGGGGGAGAGAGCTTAAGGCTTTAAAAATTAGGAAACCCAAGAGGCAGTCAACTCTTGTGTAAAGGCACAATAGGGGTGCTTAGTAGAGAAGCACCTGAAGTATTTTCAGTGCAAGGCCAAAATTCGTGCCCAAGCAAGGAAATCGTCTGGAAGGTTTCTGCAATTTCATGAAACTTCCCTGAGATTAAGATGGTTTGTAGTGTTAGCATGCTCTGAGATATCCTGAGCGAAATTTCAGCTGAAAATCTCTCGATAAGTTGACTGTGTGTCTCCCCTTGCAAACAAGTGAATTCTTTGATGAAACACTCATTAATTTCGCTTTTTACATTCATCTTATTTCTTCTTTTTCTTTTATCTTTTTTCACTTTTATTGTGATTTTTATGATTTACTCCTGCATGCTGCTTGTTATGAGCTATTTTGTCTCTTCTTTCTGTTAGATGGATCCACTGTATCTCCAGTTGGTAAATCAACTTGGGACAAAGCTAAGCCGGACCGGGATGAACACTCTGATTCTGTAGATATACAAAAAGAAACTGATTTGGTCTACTATTCTGGAGGTGTGCGCGCAAATGGTGTTGAAACCAGTGGTTTAAATGATGAATTCTTTGCTAGTGAAGGAAGTAGACAATGTGCCTCAGCTGAAGGAAATATATTTTTTTGACTCGGCTGTTAGTGAGCAACCTGAGGTGGAGAGCTCTGGTTCAGGTGTGAAACTTGAAAATGGATGGCCGCCTACCTCGTGCTGTGCCACTTGGTCTTGATGAGTTCAAGAGCGAAACATTTAATTCCAAAACTAAATCGGGAAATGGTGAGGCTGGAGGCATAAAACACAGAGTGGAGCCCTGGTGGTGCTGAATACAATTATGCTTCAGCTGCAAAGGGAGCCAAGGTCTTGGCTTTTAACAAGGAAGCTAAAGGTGCCTCAAATATCTTTGGCAGGGAGATAAGGACAAGTACCTTCGCAATCTATGTTCTGCAGAAGGAAAATTTGTCGATGTCGTTCGACTAGGTTCCTACTATTCTGTATTCTTCCTTTCCTGCCTGTTCCCCTCCTGAAATATTTATCAAAGTGTGAAATATTTCAGATGGACTACACTGTCTCTAACATATGGTATAGTAATTTAAAAATATGCATGAAGTACTCCAAAGTTTGTTTTGTCATCGTTGGTTTTATGTTGTTATTGTTTTCTGCCTGAAACTGCAATGACTAGCTAATAATGTGTATGCAAGCCCATTTAGCTATGCTGAGGTCTAGAATTACCATGTGGGATGTCTACTTGTCAACAGAAAAACAGGAAGAACAAAAGTTTTTACATTTGTTTTTCTTATAAAATTTTGTTTTCTTTTATCCTATTGAATCTAATGAAGGTTGAATTAAAATGGCAGACCACTTTTGAGGTTACCAACCTTCTGGATGGTAATGACGCTAAGTGGATTTTCTGGTCTTGCAATCAGCTTCACGTCTATGTGGTTTCTTCATCAAACAGGTGCCACCACATACAGGTAAGCTGAATGTAGCTGATGCATAGTATGATATTTGTAGGACTCCGACCTGGTTTAAATGAGACTTTGATTACTGAGCTTAAACCCTTGATATGTTATTATTAGCTTTCAAATTTATAAGTGATTTTTTATTTTTTATAATGAAACTTTTTTGAAGCCTGGTGCAATAAGTTTAAAATCCCTTTTTCCAGGCTGAATGGATCATCAGCATTGATTTCCTTTGTTACATAGCATAATCTGGCCAGCTTGATATCTTATAGTTGTGGTTGATGTAGCCTGACACTTCCCAAAGCTGGAAAATATACACTAGGAATGGCCAGTTATGTAATAAGACTTGGAAACCAATTTAAAACAACCCCATATTTATATTTATATGTGAAAATCGTTTCGTGTTAGTTTTGTGTTGTCGGTTTAGCATATGATTAAATTGCTATGCTTATTTCGAATAACGAGGTGTTAGTGACATCTCTAATGACTGCTCAATGTCTGCAGCCTTGTGGGGTCGCTGAATAATGATTAAATTGCTATGCTTATTTCGAATAACGAGGTGTTAGTGACATCTCTAATGACTGCTCAATGTCTGCAGCCTTGTGGGGTCGCTGAATAATGATTAAATTGCTATGCTTATTTCGAATAACGAGGTGTTAGTGACATCTCTAGTGACTGCTCAATGTCTGCAGCCTTGTGGGGTCGCTAAATAAGATCCCTCTATCTGTTGCTGGTATCCTACTTTTCAAAGTCCCGACCAGTTTAGAGAACTCCGCTAGCATTTTCTTTGGTAAGTTCTTTCAACTAGACTGGCTTCAGAATGTGATGTACTACTTTATTACTTTGCAAAGACAATAGAGTTTTGTAGCATTAACCATAAAAAATTGCAATTTGGTAGGTCTTGTGGCTGGAGTATTTTTCGCTTTAGTATTTGATGCCAAAATGCGGGAGAGATCTCAATCCTGAACTGTGGTAACTAGTTAGTATTTGATGACAACCAAGTTTTTCACTGTGTGAAAGCTGCATCCGGCTGCCTTAATATCTCATTCTTCAATTGTGGGAAATCATTTTACAGATTCTCATGAAGTCTTAAAGAAGATTCTGCTAGGCATGAGGAAAACTTCCATTCGACTTCATCAGGCCATCTAGAGATGTTGTGTACCAAACCTTACCACTAATTTTTTCACCAATCTGTATTTTGTTGTGTAACTCATTCCTCTGTATCATCTATTCTAGTCTTATACAAACAATTATTCTGAAACTCATGCTAAATTGGGAGAAAAATGATCTCCCTAAGATAATGTTGAAAAATAAAATAAAATCTTTGTTTTCAGGTATATGCTATTTCTGTATAGAACAAAGTTGAAAGCTTGTATAGAAGATGTGTTTATTGTGTCATTCGCAGGTATGAGTTAGGCCAGTAAGTTCGCCGCCTTGCATCTTAGTTTGAGTCCCCAATTAGATTAATTTAAAGTTGGTTAAACTATCAATTGTATTAACAAAAGAAAGTATTGTGTCGTTCATTGTAATTTCAAATAAGTACGAAATTGGAAATAAAAGAGCATTAAAATGCTGGGTAAGAGTGTTTTAAATAGAGGATTTTTCGCTAGCTTCATAGCGATAGCGTCGTGGAAATTTTTG